TTACTAATAATTTTCTTAATTAAACCTTTATAATAACTTTATTTTAATATATCATTATAAAAATTAAAAATTTTTTTATATTCGATTCGATTCGATTAGATTCGATCAAATATTTGATTTGATTTGATTTGATTTGACAAATATTTGATTCAATCAAATATTTGAGTTCAATTCAATTCAATTTGATTCGATTTGAAAAATCAAATCAAATTCAAATTGCTTAAATATTTGATTCAATTCGATTTTGAGGAACCCTAGTTTTTACTATAGGTATTTCTTCTAAAGTGAGTTTTTCTTCTGCAGCTAATTCTTCTAAACTGGCATGCATATTTTTGGGTATTTAACAATTTGCAAATCTCAAATTTTTAGCTAAAAAAACCTTATAAATACTGAATAACCTTTTTTATTATATGTTTTTCTTTACTTTTATTACCAAGCCTCGGATTTTTTTTCAAGATCCATTCTTTATTAAAAGAAAATTTTTGATTAAGACTATAGAATTAATTATTAGTATTTTTACATCTAGAATTCATAATAATGACAGTTGCCATTACCCTATAGCAAGGTTGGGAATTTTATATGTACTAGATAAAATTACTACTATACTTGTACTAATTTTTATATTAATTATTATAATATACTAACTATACTAACTATACTAACTATACTAACCATTATACTAATATTATACTTTCCAACTTTGTTTTATAATTTAACATTAATTTTTAAAAATAAAATAATTATTCTAAATAACCTGTTTTATTAAGAATTGACATTATCCAAAGAGTATGTGATCCAATTGACTCTAAGCTATTGTTGATAGTCTGTATATCATATCACAAAGATTAGCAATTTACACAAGAGAAAAATCAATCTATTTACCAATATGAGGTAGAGAGCATGCACAAATATATTCAGCAAATTGATCTATTATAGATAAACTTCACTCAAACTATTTTGAGATGTTGGGTATAATTTTAGATTTATTTTCGTTAACATCTTTTAATTTTTAATTACTTCTATATGTAATTTTATAAATATATATTTAGACATATTTGTTTTTATTTTTTTTAAGGTCTCACTAGTATACCCTATTGATTTATTACACTTTATCTCCTGATTAGCACTATTTACGTAATTATGCAAATAAATTATGGCTACTAGACGATCATTTGATATGTATTTATTTATGCATTTCTAGTATATATAATGGATTACTTTACAATATTAATAGTAATATTACTACAATTAATAAATTTAAGTCGACTATTATTAAGAAATAAATCATTTTTACCTTTTGAAGAAACCATATTTTAGATTTCAGAGAATGGTTCTTTTTCTATTTCTGATATATTAATTTCTTCTTTAGATATTTCGTTAGAAATAAGTTTTGCATTATCATCTTCTTTTATATTAAGTTCTTTCTTATTAGATTCTTTTATATTAGAATTTTTAGTTACATTAGAATTTTCCTATAAATAAATATATTAAAATTTTAATATTTAAATATTATAAATATTTCAAATAAATAAATAAAATACTTTAGTTACTCCTGAAAGTGTTAATTTTGCAATATTTAATTTTTGTTTTTCATTTGTTTTTCAATATCTAAATTAAAAAATTAATTAATTATATAATTAATGAATAAATAAAATCATAATTACTTACACATTTAATCCTGCTAAAGATCTATATAATGTTACATTTATTATCTTATGAATCTAATCCTTCATTATTTCCATCTGATGTATTATTTGACATATTAGGATGCTTAAAGATTTGAATCATTTCTTCATCAGTAAGAGAATCAGCTCCATTATAATCATCATTATTAATTTCTTCTAACTTAATCATTCTGGTATGCAAGATATCACATACTGCCTTAAACTCATAATCTTCATATATATTAAATGATTCTTTAGCTTTGAATAATTCTTGATAAAACCTATTAATAGCACATATTTTATTGTATAATAAAATTCTTTTTTTTCTCTTGTTTTTATAACTATTATAAATTCACATAAAAGCACTGCAATATTTTTTTTATCATAGAGTATAAGTAAATCTATATCAGGTTGAGTTTTTTTCACAAATTTTTCAAATCTAGAAAACTATAAATAAGTATTTTGTTAAGTATTTTTAGGTTTCGATATAGTAATATATTTTCGTAAAATTTCTATATAAAGACAACTATATATTTCTTTAGAATTGAATGATTTGAAGTTTCTTTGTGTATTTTGGTAAGTTAAGCATTTTGCATATGAGTAAATTTATCTTTAGTTCATCTAAAATGGTAGTATTATTTTTTGATTTTAATAACTCAGAAGCTTTTATAAAATCTGACATAAGAAATAAAGAAATTTAATTTAATAATTATAATTTGTCTCTTATATATTTGTATCAAATAAGCTTAAACTTTATAATAATGCATAATTACGTAAATTTACGAGATAATTACGTAAACTTTAAAAAGACTATTACGTAAATAGCAGAAGATAAATCAATTATATCCTGGCTAATTGAAATAGTAAAATTTTATTTAGAATCAGAACATGATCAACTTATTGGTCGATCATTTATCCAATCCTAGTAAAATTTTACTATTTCAATTAGCTAGGATATAACTAATACTTATTAATTATAAATAAATATTTTGGATTTAATTTATGAATAAATTTTGTAAATTTTATGCATTCTATTTATTCTATTTTTATTTAAAATAAAATATTTTAAACAAATTTAACTATTGATGTAATATATTTTCTATATTCTATTTTTATTATTACATAGATGATTTTATTAAAATAAATTTTTACCTTAAATTTTGCTTGATCTGAATTATCTGAATTATTTATATTCTGATTTAGTTCTATTTGAAATATTAATATTTTATTTAGATCTTAAAATATCACCTTAATATTTTTCCCTTCAGTAAGATCACATCTAATTTTAATAATCTCTTTATAATCTATAATTATTTAACTTGAAATTAGAAAAATGTAAAAAAAATTAACAAAAATATTTTTTATATTGCATAATAAGAATCTACTATAGTTTTTGTCTTTCCTAGCTCAAGAAAAATCCATTTGCATACTTCTATATTATACTAGTCATACCAATAACTAATAATTATCATTAATTCTGAATTATGATAATAATCTCTATTATCTAAAATGATCTTAACCCAAAGAGGTTTAAGATTTATTATCATAAATACTGACTCAAAATATGACATTATAAACCAGGCATCCTACTTAGTATTGGAACTCCAGTGGTTATAAGCTTGAACATCTAATTCTTCATTATTGATTTATCCTTTTGAAATATCAGGGTTGTATGAAGCGTCCATTCACATTTTTCAAAAAATTCACTTTTTGTTTTTTAGGCTATTGTAAATAAAATTTGTATTTTGTAATTAATTACAATAATAGCCTTATCATCATCTAATTCATGTAAAATAGAATTGAATTGGGCATTTAAATAGGTTTTACGAGTTTGATGTATCAAATAATATGTTAATTATTTCTGATATTCTAAGAGTTTAGAATAATGGATAACATCAAGTTTATCAGTAAAATCCTTAAATACACTGAAAATTTTATCACACTTTTGATACTGGAAATAATATTGCTTTATGCATTCTCTAAATGCAAATAAAAAACAATGATTTATGCAATTTATATGATCAGTTGTATCATTATCATTTATTAATAATTTTCTTTATAATTTCACTTCAAATAATAATGCAAGCATTATAATTCATAGATTAACTGGTCTTATATAATGAATTTTGTGTAAATATAATAATAAATAAATGATAAAAATAAAAATTCATTAATAAATATAAACCCTTTAAATTTTATTGTCAGAAAAATTCATAATTACTAATTCAATCAAATTTTTAAAGGGTTAATATTCATAATCATTACACATTATATATAATACTTTCAAATCTTTTCTATATTTAAAGTAATTTTATGTAAACGGAACATAAAAGAAGTATGTTTTATTCTATTAGTATAAATAGCAGAAAATTTTACCATAAGCACTTTTTTTAATCTTTTAGATAAAATACAGATAGTTATGTTGTTAGCCGGAGGGCTAAAAATAAACTTAAACAATATAATTCAGTCCGTCGAATTAATCACAATAACTTTATCACAATCACGCCTGTATGAAGACATGGCAAAAGGTAATAGTAAATGAATAACAAATATCTTTATTGAACTCTTGGTTTATTCACAAAACCCTATTTCAAGTTATCTTTCAACTCAAGGGAAAATACATGCTATTTATATAAAATAAACTAATAATAATATAATATAATAAATATATCTAATATAATAAATATAACTAATATGATAAATATAATAAATATGGTAGATCGGTCAAATATGATCAATTGGTCATATTTGTCAACTAAGTCAAATAATAATTTGTAAATCAATTTTGATGATCTTTTAATAATGTTAATTTTGCAGCTAACAATGTTTTTACATCTACTTTATAAGAACTCATATTCATATTTGCTTTATCTGCAAAAAATAATTGTAATTCTTTTTTTTTAACTTTAGATATTTTTGAATAAGTAATAACTGGTTTTACTAATATAGAATATTCAGATCTATTAATTCTAGAATATTTTCATACTATATTAATTGAATTAGATAAAACCTAAATAATATACAGTATAATATGAGTAATAAATTATTAAATATATATACAATAAATAATATGCAAAACAATTTTGCATTACCTCTAATTCATCAATCATTTTTTTATATGTAAATCTTTCTGCAATTATTGATAATATACATGTCTTACCATCTATTCCTTTAGAATTTGCATTAAAGCTATTATGAAAGTAATTCCAAAATATACCAATTGGTGAAATTATATTCAAAAGTTCTTTTACATATAATTTGGCAATTATTTCACAATCTTTTTCAGAATCAGGAGTATTTGTCTATAATTCACACTATAAATATATTACATTAATTTACAATTTTAATATCAATGATACAAAATATGTGTTTATACTTACACAAAAAATGTTTTTATTATATGAAGTAATATGGAAGCTGATCTATTAAAAATGGGTTACAGAACTAGTAAATTGATTTTGAGTAATTGATGATCAAAAAATAGATTAATTGTTTGGTTAAATTTTACCACTAACATGATAAATTTTACTAATTATTGCTTTTTCCCTATTCTTATATTATTCCTTAAATGGTAATGATTTTTATTCAAATTTAGTCATGATTTTCAATCAATTATTATGCAAAATTCTACATAAAAAC